AAAAAACTTCCCTCCGTTAGCCGGTAAGGGGAGGGGGGGGAGGGAACCACCCTCCCCCCACCTCACCCCCCGCTCCACACCATAAAGTCCATTCAACAATTTTCAACCTTCGCACTTGCCCAAAAAATTTCAGCTGCTTTCAAAGGAAACCCAACGTTCATCGCAGCAGCAACTTCCTGCCACCGACCAATGACAGAGCAGATACAGTTCTCAGACTGAAAACACTGAAAGGACAAGGACAGGAAGTGACTCCAGGAGTCAGTCACAGATGGAACTTTGGTCACAGGAGGAGAAAATTGTTGTTGTTTTTTTATTACTGATAACAAAAAAAAAAGAATCTCTGCAGCTCCTGACACACCAGTCATGCTTTACTCACTTAAGCACTGTAGGTGGCGGTAATGTGCCTGCTCGTCTGAAGAGGCAACGACGGATGTCAGTGCAAAACAATCAATCAGGACGGATGTCAGTGCAAATCAATCAATCAGGTTAAAAAAGACTGAGATCAGGCTGGTGACACTTAACAAGTGATAATCAACAGGCGGCCCGAGGACCAAATCCAGCACACTGAAACGTCCAATCCGGCTGCGATTGGATTCCAAAATTACAAGGATCAAACCATCGTGTGGTCCCCACTATTAAGGCAACATAAAAAACAAAAAACGTGATTTATATTTGATTTTATTTCATATTAGCGTCCGATTCTCCAGGTGTTTGTCCAGAAAAATACTGCCCCCCCCGACACATCCAGTCACAGCGCCCCGCTCTAAAGAAGAAAAAACAAAAATCCCCCGCTCCTCTGCTGACAGTATCCAGCTGAACTCCACTGACCTTCACTGGGATTATGATGGAAACCACTCACTTCCTGCCACCGCGACCTGATCGGAGACACGTTCACCTTCTCTCCCTTCTTGCCTATCAGCTATCAAAGCTCCGCACAAAGGAATTATTTGCCTTTTTTTTTCTTAAACCATCTGACGTCACCGGCTGCTAAAACAGGCTCAAGGACAGCAGGCAGTAACTCAGCTCACCGCCGTCATCTGTTTTCTATATCACTTTTATCAAAGCTATCTGCTGGCTAATGTGGAATGCTGTGCATCAGACGGCTGTCGTTTTGAATTATTTTTTTCTGACTCGAAAACTTAAACATTGAAAAAAATAAACCCTAAAAAAAAAACTGCAGTGACTTCACGTACACAGAGTCATTACTACATTTCCTTTTATTATCTGATCTCTGCACCTACACCGACCCTCCTGTTGGAGGTGTGAGGGTAACCACTTTCAGATGTGCACCAGGGGGCCCCCAGGGGGAGACGGTGAGAGGGGCGTTCTGCAGGAACAGGACAGTTTGACGTTCTCTGCTTCCTGCCTGTAGTGAGTTTTTTTTTTTTTTTTGCTCCCAGTGTCACGCAACGTTTCCAGCTGTACTACAGTATAACTGAGAAAAAAAGTGAAATGATGAGATTAATCCTGTAATCTGGGCCGCGTCTACGGACATCACAGACACTGAGGAAAAACTGGACTGGGTCTGATGTGGACCATGGAAGTAGAAGAGAAAATAAAGTTGTACATTTTTCTCATCCAGGTATCGTCTGGGTCCAATCATTGGTCCACGAACCTCAGTTTTTTCCACCTTGGGTCTGGGTCCAATCACTGGTCCACGAACCTCAGTTTTTTCCACCCTAACCTTCACTTAATCTCCAACATCCAGTTTCTGTATGTATTTGGTGAGTTCACATTCAGGACCTAAATTAACTCCAACATCTCCATCAGCTGGGAGGGAGGTGTGGGCTGCAGTCCAGTTTTGTGGCCTGAATCCCAGAGAGCTCAGTTCCACAGACTGACTTTCATAGTCCCACAATGCACCTCCCTGCCTGGAAACCTCTCTCTCTCTCCCGCTGACGTACTACAGCGTGCACGTGAACGGCAGTGTGAGAAAATACAACCTCCAACCAGACTCTTCTGTAAACAACTCTGAAACAGTGAACTTTTTAGGAGTTAGAAAATACGACCTCCAACCAGACTCTTCTGTAAACAGCTCTGAAACAGTGAACTTTTTAGGAGTTTGGCGCCTATAAAATTTTTTTTTTTTCAACAAAAAAATTCCACATCAATCTTCCACAACCACAGCTTAAAGAAATAAATAAAAATCACAGCTTGATTCCGTGCACACCTGTTCAACAACCCTGTTCCTGTGCCTTTACCTTTTAATGCTAATGAGCCACTTTTTCTAATTTCCTAGTGCCTTGCTCAAGGGTATTTTGACAGTAATGTGGGAGGACACTCTGATGGTAATTTACCCCCCCGCTCCCCCACCCCTCCTTCTTCCTCTGCGCTCTCCTCTTACCTCATTGCCAAGCAGGGCGGAGACGCACGCTTCAGACGCATCACATATGGCCGTGAGGTCGTGACCTCCCTCCAGGACAAGCACCAACCGACCGCCTGCCAGAGCCATCAGCTGCCTGGTCAGGTAGCCTAAGCCTGAAGACACACAGGAGGAAAAGGACAGAGTGAGACGGGTCGAAGGGACAAGAGTGAGACGCAGCGAGGCAGTTCACGTCACGGGGTTCAACACCAGGGGCGAGGTCTTAGTTTGAAGTTGGTGTTTTAACAAGAGTGGACCTCGTCATCCTGGTGGAGAACGTCTGAACTTCACTACTTACATTTAGCCGTTAGCTTGTATCCTCCCAGGGGCGGAGCATGTCCATCCACCGCATCGAAGCCCGAAGACACCAGGACGATGTCCGGGGCGAACTCACTGGCGATGGGCATCACCACCGTCCTGAAACAAACCAACAAGACACACGGGAGATGATCACATGATCACTGGAGGCCGAAGAGGAGACGGCGAGGAGTCATCGTCCTGAGTGGGACTGGGAGGTTGATAGGCCTGTATCGTCCCGAGGAGTGGGACTGGGAGGTTGATAGGTCTGGAACCTTTAACCTGGAGGTCAAAGGTCACTCCTGATAACTTCCTCATTGGGTTAGGGTTAGAGAAACCCAGACTGTCCCTCTAATCCTTTACCTCTAAACATATCTATCATGAAACGAAATACTGTGATATTTCAGTGTATCGGTATTTTCTTACATCGGTAAAAAGTAAAGTATTTTTTTATCATGTAAAAACCACCTGATGGGTTTTTTTTACAGAGAACGTGCGGCGGTACTGCGTGAACGTGTACTGCGTGAATGTGTACTCCGTGAGTACATGAGAGAAAACGAAGGAGGACTGAAGTGCATGTGTGTAATTTCAACAGCAGGGTGTGGTGACAGGAGGATGTTTGTCCTCCTCCTTCCTCCTCTGCGGCCTGTCGTGCGCTCTAGTCAACGGTGGTAAACTGTAAACTACAGGGTGATTCAGTGCAAGTTGTGGCTAAAAAAAAAAAAATCCAGGGTTGATTTAAATAGTCACTTTATTTACTTTAACTGTTTTGTTGAATGTGTTTCTGTAAATGGTTTGACTTTCACCAAACTGGAACTTTATCTTCTATTCATCCATGATCTACAGCAGGAGAACTTTAATATTATTATTTTTTTATTTTGGAAGCTGTAATTAAAATAATTGAAGATTAAATTACTTCATAATACGAGAGTCTGGAGTATTTATTTAAAAAAGTAGGTAAATAAATAATGATATATCACTGGTCCAGGTCCAAACAAGAAACTGCCTCTGATTTAAATGAGGGATTTCACATTGGACACAGTTTGTTTGTTTTTTTCCGAGAGGGGGGGTTTGGAGAGTTTGGGTAACTAGTATGTTGGCGAGGCCTGTGAGTGACACGGTACCACAGGGTTCCTTCACAGGTCCCCTGTACTTTGCCGACCTCAGGAACACGCCGCTGGTTTGCCAGCTGTGGGTGAGCAGCGTGCCCTGAACTCAGGAGGACGCCGTCGCCGCTTTTTTTTTTTTTCTCTTTTTTTTTCCACTTCTTGTTTGCCACTAAATTACAGCCTGAGAGTGAGTACACCACACCCCCGCCACAACACAACGCTCATAGATACACACAGCTGACTAAGGGTGAGGCGGTAGGTAGCTGTGGGAGACTCCTGGAGGGGTGGGGGGGTGTGAGGGTACACAGAGTGTGTGTGGCTGTCGACATTAGAGAAAAAGTTCCAGAAGAAAATTTGATGTTAGGAAGAAGAAACGTTTAAAAACATAAAATATAAACACAAAATACAAACACATATAGTTCAACATACACACATATATATATGTATATATATTTATACATGTGTATATGTGAGTATGTATACACATACTTAACATATACACATATAGAAATATATAAAATACATGTATGTATGCATGTATATATAAATATTTACACATATATAAATATATATGTATGTATAATGTTGTAAAATAGAAAATAACCTCAAATTTTAAATCTTTTCTTCATTGTTTAACATATATATTTAAACATATATAAAACACATATATACATATATGTATGTAGGTATGCATGTATATATACATATTTACACATATATAAATATATTTGTATGTATATTGTTGGAAAATAGAAAATAACCTCAAATTTTAAATCTATTCTTCATTGTTTAACATACATATATAAATATATATAAAACACATATATACATATATGTATGTAGGTATGCATGTATATATACATATTTACACATATATAAATATATTTGTATGTATATTGTTGGAAAATAGAAAATAACCTCAAATTTTAAATCTATTCTTCATTGTTTAACATACATATATAAATATATATAAAACACATATATACATATATGTATGTAGGTATGCATGTATATATACATATTTACACATATATAAATATATTTGTATGTATATTGTTGGAAAATAGAAAATAACCTCAAATTTTAAATCTATTCTTCATTGTTTAACATACATATATAAATATATATAAAACACATATATACATATATGTATGTAGGTATGCATGTATATATACATATTTACACATATATAAATATATTTGTATGTATATTGTTGGAAAATAGAAAATAACCTCAAATTTTAAATCTATTCTTCATTGTTTAACATACATATATAAATATATATAAAACACATATATACATATATGTACGTAGGTATGCATGTATATGTAAATGCAATATACAAATATATATATACACATGTGCTTTTTTTTAACTGTCTCCCCATAAACAAACAGCCTGAGTTTGTTCTGCTTGGATGCACGACATGAAGTGGAACCTGGACTGTCATGGATACACTGAACCACTAGAGGCTCCACCTCCCTCCCTCTCTCCCCCCTCCCAGGGCATAAACACAAACAGAGTCAGTTGTGGTCTCCGTCGATGAGAACTGCTGCTGTAATAATGCCCCTGACTTTTAAACCAAAAAGCCAAAGTATTCAGTTAGCTCAGAGCGAAGGTAGCGGCTTTTTATTACGTGTGAATCAGAGGCTACGAATGTGGAGATTAAGGGAGGGGAGGTTTAAGGACTAATCTCCAGAGCCCTGGGACGTCCTGGAGGAATCTGGTGTGATCTCTGACTGTGGACGACGTGGACCAGTGGGAAACCTGTGTTTTGGTTTTGTTGATGCACCTAGCAACAGGTGGACGCACATGTGTGTGTGTGTGTCGGCTGAGGAAACAGAAGTGGAAACTGCAGTATAATTATTAAATTATAAGTTGAAAAAATTTAAAAAAAGAATAAATAATCAATTTCAGACCAATTCAGTGAAATTCGTTTTTTTTTTCCACCGTTCACCTGACGAGCTCTCATTAATGTCCTGCGGAAAATAGGTTGGGAATCAGAGGTTTCAACTCTGACAATACACAAGCTGTCCTTTAGAGGGAGCACTCCTCATCAAATCAGTCACCGAGAAGTTAAACTGCGAGGCTTCAAGGATTTCCCTTCTCCGTTCATAAAAAAGCAAAAGACAGAAAACTACAGAGAAGGAGGGGTGAGAGCTGGAGGTGGGGGGGGGGGGAGTTTGAGGGAGGGGGGGTAGAATACTTACACACGCACACATACACACACACACACACATTCACACTTCAAAGAAATGTCGTCTGGTGCTGGTTTGAATTAACTTTAATTCTCCTACTCTCTCTTTTTTCCGAGTTCATGGCAAAAGACAAGGACAGAGAGAGAAAGACAGGGAGACAGACAGGAGTGGAGGGGGACAGGGGGGGGGGGCTTCTGGTTTTCATTAGGGACAATTTTCTTATCTTTTTTCTCTGTACTTTCTGGAGGCTCAGACTTAATCCCCCTGGAAATGCAACGTGGCACAGTCTAGTGGCGGAACGGTGGAGGTGCAGTCTGGACGGCACGCGTCTCAACCCACGGACAGAGATGAAGAAGAAGAAGAAGACGAACTCACGACTCAAGACTGAAAAGAACTTTTTTTTCTGTGGTCCAATCACAGGCGTCTACACCCAGATTTATGATTGGACAACAATCAACTGGACAGTTGTGAGGGTTCGATATAAAAATCCAAAAAAATCAAGGTCAAAGGTCGACATTGGACAAAGGTTGAACTGGTTTTTCATCGTTAAAATCAGACAAATTTAAAAAGTATAACATCCGTCTCAGGACTTTTTGACTGACGGTCAGTCGTACGTGAAGAGTACAGTGTCAGCTGCGATAAAAAAAAAAACACGAGCAGCCCACGGGCGTCTGGGCCACATTATGGGACAGAGAGGAGCTCACAGGGGGGTCGAGTGCTGAAAGCTGGGAGAGGACGTGGTCCAATTTATGGCTCAGGCCAGATGGACACACTGGCACAAAAAAAAGGGGGCTTTAAAAAAAAAAAAAAAAAATTTCAAAGTGCCGAGACGAATCCAGAGCTGCTCCCTGTCAGCAGGATAAAAGTGGAAACATAACAGACATGTCAGTGTCTGTGGTGAGTTCATGCCTGCACGCTCACAGGCTGCAGTGTTGGACAGGTTATAAATAGCCTAGGACAGTGGACATAATGGAACTCAGGTGTGGCACGAAGACGGACCGTCCAGGTACTCAACGGTTCCAGACCGACTGACGAACCATGTTCTCCACGGTCCATGTGGAACCCGCTCTATTCTCCGTCTGTTTCCAACCTCAACGTCCGCGTACATCCATGAGCACGGTAGTTAAGACAGTTACAGCCTCTAGGGGGCAATGCTGAGTACAAAGCTTACTTTCAGAATTTCAGAGAGTAACAAACGAGGTGAAGATGTTCCTGCTCAGACAGTGAGGGGGTCTGTGTGAACGTCAACCACAGTGCCCCCCTGTGGAGGGAGGATTCTTCTACCTGGTTCCACCATTTCTGTTGTTTTTTTTAATTCTTGCTGTTGTTTTTTTGGAGCCATGAACACTGCCCCCCAACGATTTTTAAGTGGTACTTTCCCCGGCTCTTAAGAGGATCAGGCTTATTATCAGAGGGTTGCAGGTTGGAATCCCACCTTGGCTTGGTGATTCCAATACCAGAGCTTTTCGAAGACAGAAAAACTGTTATGACACGATAGTGTTTTTTTTTCTTACCTAAAAGCAGCAAGATAGTCAACATCTCCCATGGGGGGGTCCAGTCCTCCAGTGAAGGCCATGTTCACGGTGTAGCCCACACCTGCTCCCGTACCCACCTAACACACACACAAATGTAAATTCCAACAGTAGGGGGCGATGGGAGGTGGCGGGGGGGGGGGGGGTAGAAGGGGTCATCTTACCCTACCTCATCAGGTGCTCCACTCCCAGGGAAGAAGTTTCCATCATCGTAGCGATGCAGTGACAGATACAGAACACTGGGGTCGGAGTAGAAGGCCTGCTGCGTGCCATTTCCATGGTGAACATCCTGGAAACAAAAAAAAAAAAGAGAACAGTTCATGTCAAATGACTACCCCCACGTCCTCCCCTCATAAAAAGAGACACAGTGATGAATCCCGCAGTTCTGCAGGACGTGGATGGAAATGAACCTCAGACGGACTGAAGACGTCCGACATCCGTGACCGTGATGCTGTGAGACAGTTACGGCCGCGGCTCAGCTGCAGCTCATTGTGTTGTCAGAAACAGAGAGTGGTCAGCGGGATCCAATAAAACGCTCCACATCAATGGTTATTTACTGCTGCCAACAACGTGACATCAGCTCCGTGACCTCATCGTCCACATCCCCAGGAATGCTTTCATACACTGGGTGTTAAAAAACGTCCCTGTGAGTCGGAGGAGACGCGGAGCGACAGCGGGTTGGTTAGCTGCCCTCCTTTCAGTCGCTCCTCTGTCACAGACAGGACCGGAAAACAAAGGGGACACCAGAGGAGAGCAGGTCTCCAGGACATGGACAAGAAGAACCAAACCTTCAAAACACGTCTGGTACCAGGACAGAACCGAAGAACGGCTGCAGCGTTTAAACATTAAAAATGTAGGTTAAAAAAAAAAAAAAGAACTGTAACTGTATTATTCCTGAGAGAAAATTTTATTAACTTAAAGTTCTTCAACAGGGGGGTCGTGGCCCCTAAAAGGTACGCGGAGGTACTGCAGAAGGGTTTTAAAAGATGTTGGTTGGTCATTTTTATCTTTATCTAATTTCAATTCTATTTTCAACTTAAAAAAACTCCCTACAAACTTGTGAATTATTTGAACAGCAAAGTACATCTACTGAATGTACTAAAACACTTTTCTTTTTACGAAATACACAGAAGGTTTTCCCTCCGTCTGTTTGAAACCTTCGGTCAAGAAAAAAGTTTTGCGAGATTTCTTTTTAAATTCAGATTTGTGTGATGAGTCTGTGTCTGGTGTTGGGGGTCGGGGGGCGAGTGGACACTTGTAGTGTATTCATTCAAACCAGGAGTCAGGACTCACCCAGTCCACAATGAGGACTTTGCTGACGTTGAGCCTCTGCTGTAGGAGTTTGGCTGCGATGGCCACGGAGTTGAAGTAACAGAAGCCCCTGAGAGTGGACGGAGGACGGAAGTCTTACTAAATTAATTATTAATTATAAACTATAATCTTTAAAATAAAAACTTCTGATGTACTCACATGGGGGTGCTCTCCTCGGCGTGGTGCCCTGGTGGTCGAACCACAGCAAAACCATTCTATAAAGGACAAAGAACCAGAACCATAAACACCGGTGCATTTTTTTTTTCTTTCGCTGTAAATGGATTAAACTTGACTTTTGTTTTGTGAAGAAATTGATTGACATGTAACAAAACTCTAATTTACTGTTTCTCAATCTCTGATCCCAAATAGTAAAACAATTAAAAGGTTCCACCGATAAGTAGCATAGACAGCGTAGCTAATTTAGATAGCTCAGTAATTAGCGCAGATAAGAAGGTTCGCAAACAAAACGTTACTGTCGCCGTTTAAACCAGTGATTTATTCCATTTCAGTCGTAAAAAAAAAAAAAAAGTCTGTATCAACATGACCTTTGACCCTCCAGTCTGTAGAAATGTCTCCTCGGTGCCAGGTTTTATAGGACGTGTAGCTGAACAGCACAGGTCAGAGGAGGACACACTGGGACTCAGACCAGACCGGTTCTATTGACATATCTCTGTGCCCCCCCCCGCTC